ACATCTCACAGAATGAAGATAGTCACTTTTTCCCTGTTTCCCTCTCCATCTGTAATATATATATTAGAGACTAACATATATTTGATGTCTGAAGCTGAAGCCATGCATTTCTATCCAAATTTTTCCTCCTTTTTATTCTCTAGAGATCACAGAGAAGGAGTGTGGGCTACTCTTAACGCCAGAGCTGGCTAATCTCTATTGGAGTAGGGATTTGGGCTCAGAAATCCGCATAGCCCTATCGTTACACAGCAGCCTAAGAAGGAATGATGAACCTCTGTTTTGCTGCAGTGTCAGTGGGCATGTGGACACAGGAAGAACTTTGCAGAGCGCAGTCATACCGCAGAGATCAYGTACCCTGCCCTCAGCAGGGGAAGCTGGTAGATATTTTGTGCTATAGTTAGTCACTGCCAACCAGTATACATTGCGTCACAGGAGTTGGTCTTGTGGCATTCTCACCTTTGCCCTCCAAAATGAAGGAAGTATCTTTCAATGACAACTACTACATTGAGGGAATAAAGTACAAAGGAATCAAATATAACCTTGGTTGTCTAGCCAAGAATATATATTCTTCCCTGATACCAAATTTCAATGCAATTTAAAAGGGAATGGTTGCCTGCTGATAACATACTGGCATATACAGCTTCTTTCCTCTGGAATTCATAYGAGAGCTACTCCTAGGTTTTTGATACTGGCTTTCCGAGAAGTAGAGGTTGAAAGACTGATCTGCTGCATCCCAGCATCTGTCACATCTGCCCATTCAGCAGCATGTGCTGCCTTGGCTGCGCTGGCTTTGTCCTCTATAGGTCCTTTAGCGTAGGAGAAGATGCATCTGTTTTCCATCACTGCAGCTTCCTCCCAAAGGATAATCTGGAGATTTTGCAGCCCAGTTTATTGCAACAAACCAGGCAGAACCTGTCACAAAACAGTAATGTATCTGGCCTTCTATGAACATATTAGTAAATTGTAAACRTATTTATTCTAATTTAGTAAAATTGTTGCTAATTTAGTAAAATTAGCAGTTCCTTGGAAGCCAATAAAGGTCCCAGTCTGCACAAGTCTGTACACAATCCTGAGCAGTCAGGATCYTCCTGGGTGTACACTTTGGTTCAAGTACCTATTGTGAGAGGGGAAAAGCAGATGATGCATTTAATGGGTCAAAGTTTGGAACTTTTTGCAATATCATATTTGTCATGGACTTTCTTGCACATCATTTCTGCTACATGATTAATGTTACTTGCAATAGTTTCATGTCATACAACCTCAGTTACTTTAAATGCTATAAGTAAAGGAGATTGGAATCAGAAACAGCATAGCCGCTGAATTAGTCATAGTTTCATCTTGTGTTATTTTTCCAAATATTAGAGTAGCAGGCACTACTGTGGATCAATGCTACCACTGCATGAAAAAAGACAGTATCAGCTTGAAAAAAAAAACACTTAAAATACAAGCAGATTATAAATGCACATTACAGGCAGTACCTAGGAAACCAACACTGAACACATGTATTGTTTCTCGGATTGGGTTTCTATTTCATATCTCCAATCAAATACTTATGGGCAACATTTCCACAAGATAATCCCCAGCATTAATTGTGAGAAAAGGAAATTAAAATGTTAACATTGCAGGTGAAAGAGAGATAACGGTGTGGTACTTTTCATGAACAAACAAAAATATGGTCTACTGATCTATTCTCTCCTGAACGAAGTTGCCATGTTGGAATTTGATCTCAGTCTTAGAAATCTTGTCATCTTTTCTATGTTTGTGTTTTCACTCTTTCCATAAATTAAACTACTACATCCTCCATCAGGATAGCAACAATACAAACACAGTACTCACCACAGAATAGTAAATATTTTCAATAAAACACAGCAGAATCTATTTAAAGTGCCAGTTCGCAGAGTCGGGTGCAAGCATAAGGATATCAGCKTTCTTTTAAAGATAATTGTGCTTCTAGATGTAAAAGCAAACAAACAAAAAATATAAAAATTCTGAATGTTGAACATGCTGCAAAACTGAATGATGGATAACCTTAGATCAACCTCATTTCCTATGCCACTTCTTGGCTGTAATGAATTTACCTGTTTGGGGGAAGTGAAAGAGTGAAGGCTCTTTGCATACAGCAGGAAMAGCTGGCCTCATCGACTACACTGTGAAACTATCCAAATACAGAGGGAGAGATGTAGGTACAGGTTTGTGATTGCTGAACATTGAATCCAGCCCTTTGATGACAGGGCTGTTAGAACAGCTTTGAGTTGACAACAGTCATTTTCCCTGTCATAAAGACTATTCTAGCTGCTAATAATAGAAAATGCCAATGCCAGCGCCAAGAAAGCAAATTTTTCAAAACACTAGACATCCTGTTGCTAGAAAAACTCCTAAGCATGARAGAACGCTGAGCAAATTATTATGCTACTTAGGCCTATGTTGGAGATAGATAGGAGGATTTTAGGTCAGCTAAGTTGTATTCTTTCATCTTTTATCTTTGCTGGTACATAGTAAAATTAAACAAATTAAACATATCATTTATAAAACTTTGTATTTCCTTTGCAAATCTTAATGCATTCATGACAGACTGGTAAGTGTTATCTCATCTCACAACTGAAGTAAATGTGATTTATGAAGGGTAGCACAGGAGGAACACAAGCAGGTTCTCTTTACCTATGCTGTCCATCGGATCAGGACTGACCAGTTTTTGGATGCTGATGACAGCCCTTATTTCTTGTCAGGGTTTCTGAGCTGGACCTATACAGCTATGTTTTAGTGGCATTGCACTTGGCTGAATAAGCCGTACCAAACAGGATCTGCATTTGCATCATCTTTGCTCCCATTCTCATCATAATATATAATAGTAATCTAACTGGGCTAATTCTCTTTTGGGTTGTGTCTTAGGAATTCCACGTAACATTATTTGGACTCTATTTTCTTTATWTTTTTTTTTCCCTGATCTGTAACTTTATCCTTTCATACAACAAAACCAGTCACGACCCTGTCAGCTGATACCTATGAAGACAAGAGGCCCTGAGAATGGCTCCTCTCTGCAACATATGCAGACTGTCTCGCAGTGTGCRGAGTGGAGTGCAGATCAAAGGCATCAAGGCAGGGCCAAGGAGCTTCAGCGAAACGGCAGCTCTACTCTCAGAGGGGCTCAAATGAGTAGAAGCAAGGGAGGAGGGAAAGACAGAGGCTCTCAGTTTTAACATAAACTCGTTTGATTCAGAGCTAGAGATTTTACTTTTTTTTTTTATTTATTTATTTTCAGCCTTATATATCTTCACGCCTTAGTAAATTGACAAACAAGGCTACATCATGACAGATCTGATTTGTAATCTTTGCAGAATAATCAAGCTTTTTGCCCTTTCATTATCTTGTCTCATAGCAGGCATTTGCCTACACAAGAAGAAATCATTTTAGGTCATCAAGCGTAGTCATCACAAGGATAAACTTAGGTGAGGCAGGAAAGTCAAAGATACATAGAGATCATAGGAATATTCTTACTTGCTCGAGAAGGTGATTCATCAGAAAATGTTAATACTGGGTCACAGATAGGAAAGTAATATTCAGGCTGTAAGTACAAACAAGTTGGATTTGTTTTTCTTAAACCTGGATTCCAGTATTTGTTTGTGTGTTTGTTTTTTGTTTTAGCTACTTAGTAACTATTGGTTAAAACTGTCCGGAAYGGATCGTTACATCGTATTAGTGAAACTGATGTAGCATCAGGCTTGTATATCCTAAACAAAACAAGGTATGCAGGACTGCTGAGTAAATTCAGCTAACTATAAGCCCACAGATTCACAACAGAAGCATAATTACTGTTCTAGTCACATACGAGCTCACTGTTCAGAAGAGAATAATTACATTTTCATTGCTTTCCTCAACACTCTTAACTTACCCCCACRTTGCTAAACTCCTTCTGTGGGATGAAATGGGCACACCAGGAAGACCTGGTGGGGTTGCACACACCGAGTAAAGAGAAGAGAAAAGCGGGAGAACGAGGCTGCCAGTATGATCACATATCGGAGGAGACACGTGTCCTCTACAGGAGTCATGTTACTTCAGCTCTCCAAAAGTTGCCTGGGCTCTGCACTATATAATGTTAGCACTTGAGGATTATTCCCTCATAGAAGCAAAGCATCTGGAAGCAAATGGTGTTGGGCTCACAACCAAGGGAGTAACGCAGAGTTTCCAGATCTGACAGGATGCTCTGGCCTGACACCAAATGGCTATATTCTTCACATTTTTTCATGGTCTGGCCAGGAGCAATTTTTCAATGCCAAAACAATTTGCTTAACGTAAAATGTAATATATTTTGAGATCGGTGTGCTCTATGGAAACCACTGCCAAACATGAGGTGGATAGGCACCACTCTGTAATATTAAGTGTCTCACTGCTGACATCACCCCACTTTGGAAGAGTTGCACCATCCTACAAACACACCCTCCACAGGTGTGGAGGAAAAGGAGGACAAGTCTTTGGTTTTTCACTTCAGTAACTGGAAGTTCAGCAACACCAAGTGCAGTTTTAATGGAGCAACATAGCAATAAGCAGTACGGATCGCCTAACCCCTAAGCCACATACATGAAGTTCCTTTCCTCCCCCCGACTCCCTCACGCACCTTGCAGGTCTCGAAGCGGCTCAGCGGCGACCGCGCAGCGTTCACCGCGGACGCGGCCGTTCCTCCCGAACTGCC